CGCACACACGTGTGCTACACCACAAACACCAGGAAACCGTCGCAGGAGTTCTGCGCCACCATCTGAGGATGCACATACACAGCCCATGACGGCCTCCATCTTGTGAAAGCTCTTGGGCAAGTGATGCATGAACCTGAGCGGCCCGACGGTTCCAACAGTCAAAGCATGCTCTGCATCTTTGGAGTTTCTACAGCTCCTAGCTACCATCATATAATATCATATATGAATGCGGCTACATGCCAGACTGTCCAAGAAGACAAGCTGAAAAGCCAGAAATTCCCGCCCCTCAAAGCCGAAAGGTCCGATGCAAATAAGGCCGCCGCCAAGACAAAGGATTCGGGATGGGCTGCGTGAAGTAGTGCGTCTCTGTGCAGCTGAGCTCCCGCCAGCAAGCCTCACCATACTGAAGAGGAAGGAACAAACTCTAAGACACTAAGCGATGGATGCGACCTTTGACCGTCCACAGACGTCTTTGCCAAGCGGCACTTGAGTTGCGGCCCACCTGCCGCAAAGGATTACGAAAGCAAGCAACAAAGAAGATGAAAGCAGCTCAGCTAGGCCAGTCGGGAAACGACAATGAGCTTGCAACAGCCTACAGTGGCCTGCACACAGTCCAGAAAGCCTTGCCAGTGACCCTGCAAACATGAGTGTTCTCAGTCCTGGCACCTATCGAACCGACATCGTTTTGCAGCTATTGAAGTAAGCTCTGCTTTCAGAAAATCCTTGCTGCAGGACGATAAACAAAAATATGCAACGAAGCAGCAACTGCAGCAACTGTTCAGTGCAACCTTTTCGGAAGGAATACCTGATTGGAATGCTCTGGAGACTTCTCAAATGCTCTAAGGGCCTGCACGAATCTCTGCATCGGAAAACCAAGAGGTCCACCGTCCGACGCATCAATCAGTGCATGCTGACGCTAGCCGGAAGGTGCCATCAGGACCAGGCCTTGGACATTCCTGCACCCAAAAGCAGGCGGAAGGCACACCACCGTACCGTCCAAAGGACCAACCTTCCCGGGGCTGTACAACTTTCAGTAGACAGAACTTTCTGTAGCAGTGCCAGGTCCTCAACACCCTGGGCACCTTCCAATCCAGAACGCAACCGCGTGCGTACTTGGTCAATGTAAGTGATTTCACGGTGACGAGAACCTTTTCTTTACGGCATCACTCCTGCAAACCGTTTAGCAATGCACAACAACAAGCCGAATATTCTCTCGGGTCGAACGTGGTCTTCTCTCTTAAGGACCCAAAGCATGTTGCAGATTTCTGGATCGAACGGTCATGGTGCTGCAAAAACGTCTATATCAGGTGCCTGGATGGTGGTGTCCACGTGCTTAGACGTCGGTCAAGGACAGGGCATAGGAAGATGACAAGGAAACCTACCTGCACAAGTTGAGATGCAACTCTACGGCATGTACACAGGGGTTGCCAGGGGTTGCTGTCGAAACATCATTCTTGCCTTGAAGAACTCGCCCCAAATCCCTAACCAACATCCGACAAGCACCGGAAAGGACCCTAACCCAAAGTCTTCGTCCCCAGATCCACAACTAGGAATGCCAAAACCGTAGGCCACAAATCAGAAGCCTGGCCTCGCAAGTGAGCCATTCCCAGCCATAGTTGAAGGTAAAAGCCGCCTCTGAAGCAGAGGACAGTCAAGCACAGATCTGACCTGGCCCTTCAACGAACGCAGGAACCCGGCCTGCAAGTTGACAATGGAGAGGTATGCAGCCCAGAGGAACAACGGCACGAACCTGTGGGAAGTCATGTCACATCACGAGCTCCCTACAGCGCTCTGATCTCGACAGAACCACGAGAATAATCCTTCTCCAAGCAGCTACCGCCCAAACAACTCAATGCCAAGGGGCAAACTCTGCAGCTGTCCAAGCCTCATTCGCAGCACCAAGCGCTCTCACGGAACGGCTACACCGGCAGCAACCAAGTGCCAACTACGGCGTTACGACTGGCATGGTTTTGTGCAGTGGCTGGGTGCCAAGCACACCAGATCACCTTCAACCTGTGCAAGGCCCAAGCATCAGCTGCACGGAGAAGGCAACACCGAGCCAGCTCACCAACCTGCCAGAAACAGCTGAATCAAACCGCCTTTCCGCCGGCTCATGCGGAAGGCGTGTGAAGTGACTGCGGGCAAAGCACAAGCAAAGACAAGGAACCTTCAAAAACATGCCCTGCCACTGACTTGCTTTTGAAAGCCGGGCAGCTCCAACTGCCAGTCGCCAAAACCGAAGCCCAGCTCATCAAACAAATCGAAAATAGGTGCAGGTCGCCGCCGGTGCCTGCTCGAGATCTCTGTGCTCACGGCCGCATGGTCTGAAGTCCAAAACGCCCCTCCCCAAGAATAGTAAATAGAGCTACGAATGATGGGACATAAATTCCACAAGAACAGAGTCAACGATGCGCCAGCGACTTCCCCCGAGAGAGCAGTCCTTGTCACAGGCATCAGCCCGAGCGAGCCCCACAAAGCTCGATGCTGAACCTGGATGCCACAGGCAAGCGATCTGGAGCTGGAGGATGCAGCTATCTGGTACCCAATGCAGATGATGTGCAAATTACAGGACTCCCGTCACAAGTGCCCAGAAGGCAGCTTCGACTAAAGGTCCACAGCAGTGTATCCGTAAATCTTGCAGACAACTTCACACCGACATGCAGTGCTGCGTAGCTCTACCCCGAAAGTGAAATGTTGATGCAAAGCTGCGTGCCAAATCGGAATGAGAAATTGCTGAAACTTCAACGGGCAGCGGCGGAGACCATGAAACCGCAGAAGTAGCAAAGCCCCATACCTGATGCATTGCTCGACTTCTGAGTGCGGCATGGCAGACACAAGATTTGCAGATGTGGCTTCCAGCCTCTGATCAGGAGATCCCTGGTGATCCACCAGGAGGTGCTCCAGTCCATTCCTAGCGAATGCTCTGCCGCTCCGAGCACAAATACTCGGGAGGAATTCAGAGGCGGCTTAATCAGAAAGACATTCAGGCAGACAGGTTGGTAGATAGAGAACCAGAGTATGCATTGAAAAATTCGAACACATTCGTGCACTGCGCATTCGTGCACTGGGGAGGCAGGTGCACGCACGCAGGATTCGCACACTAGCCTGCAGGATTCGAGATTCAAGTGCCATGGATGTGTGCACCGGCCGTGCAGATTGAAGCGCAAGCACGATTTCCGACATTTTCCGACCCGGGGATTCGTGCACGGCTGCCGGGATTCGATTCAGGGCTTTGGACTTTAGGGCTTCGGAGTCTTTGCACGCTCAGGTTTTAGGGTTTCGGTTTCCAATTAACCCTAAAGCCCCAAGCCCACAGACAGACCTAAACCGTCAAACCCTAAGACCCTAAACCGTAGGACCCAAAAGACTCGGCTCGCCTGGCACCCCAAACCCCCATATCTTTAAATCTATGACCCTTGACCCTAAACCGTTAAGACTCTAGAATCCAAGTAGACTCCTGAAGCCATAAACCCTAAGCTCTAGAAACCTGACGCGAGTCGGCGAGTGCTTGAATCGGGCGTGATTGAAACAGGATTGGTGCTTGAATTCTGGCTGCTTGAACTTTAATCGGGGCCAATGCTCGAATCGCATATGTGGATGTACGTAGGCAGACAGGCAGGCAGGCAGGCAGGTAGGTACTTACATGGACGACAAGATAAATCGCAATAGCATAGAATGCGCTAAACTTGTATTTCGTCATGATACGGTATGACAATAACACAGAAAATTCATCGACCAGGAGGGGAATCAAGACAGAATGCAAAGCAGTAAATGGACAGTTCCTGCCTTGCTTTCGACCACTGCCTTTCAGGAGAGCTAGAGGTGTAAGTGAAGCCGCAACCAGTGCCGCCAGGATAGGCGCTGCCTTACGGTTTTGGCTCGTGCAGGTAGGGATTCGGGAGTGTGCGGATTGTAGTTTGGCCCTGCTGTTGTACATTCAGTTGCGAACGGCCAGATTGCCTGCACCCCATTTCCATTTTGTATGGACTATAGCTTGTCTTCCGGTGCCAGATGCGCATATACGACCAGACGCAACAAAGGCTGGCGTACCATTTTGACACTTTAACTATCTTCTCGTAGTCTGCATTCTCCGGGAAGCAGTGACTACACAATCGCCACGTGATGAATTAAATTGGATGCACAGTCTGTGGTCAGTTGGCTGAACTGCAATGGAAGCCACATCTAACCAGTCGCTCATGGTGAAGTCTTGCGCATTCTTCCAGCTCACGGGCAGCTTTGCCTCTCGGCGACGAGTACTGCAGTGTCAAAGACGAGGCTGGCCGTGGCACGGTGATGCTGCCACATACCGTACTGTCCGGCCTTCGCCAGAGAAGATGCCAACAACTTCAGGAGAGCCGGAACCTGTGGGTGTGTGGGCGCGTGTGCACGCGCGCGTGTACGGGCGTGTGGGAGCCTGTGAGTCTGTCTGCTCTGTGTGTCCCTGTGCATCTCTGCGCATCTCTGTGTCTCTGTGTCGCTGTCTCGGTCTGTCTGCGCGTGTGCATGGGCATGCGCGTGCGCGCGTGCCTGACTGTAGGGGGTTTTCAGTTTTTCTTCGGAATGACGTGGGACAAAGTTAAGAGCTTTAGGAGACCTGCTACTGAAGCGTTCGCGGTCAACATGCATGGTGATCATGGCAGCCGACACCGGTAAGTCTAAACCTATCTAGTAACACTGCATGACCATGACTAATCCATTCCACTCTTCTATGTCAATGACACCTACGACCACAATGTAGTCCAACGAGTATTGCAACTGCCAAAGAAATGGAGTCTGGCGCTTCGACCCAAAAGAATCACTAGAGTGCGTGCGAGTGAGAAGAGAGAGTGAGAGAGAGAGAGAGAGAGACAGAGACGGAGACAGAACTATCCGAGTGACTTCGTACATGGGCAAACGTGCGATCATGTATGAGCTTGCGTCGCATTTGACGGTGTGCCAGCGAGGGTGTGAGCAGTTGAATATGAAAGCATGAAGTACACTTATGGTGGTAGTGCAAAGTGCATCAGGAGCTATACTCTCCCCCCCTCTCCCACCTCCCCCGCCCCACTCCGCCCACGCTCACGGCCCCCCTCCTCCTGGCCAGTGAGGATCCGAAGCTCTAGAAGACTCTGCAAGTCAAAGCCTATACGAAAAACTCGAAGAATCCGAACCCTAAATCCGACCCCATATATCTGCGCAGTGCCGGGTGTATCAGTACTGTGTGTAACCCTCGGCCTTAGCAATCCCCCAACATCCCCCAACCATTACGACCTCTCACTCTAAATCCTAAACGCCCATTAGAACAGGTCCCACATCAAACAAGCTTCAAACTTTGGTGGAGCCCATCAGGGTGCACCAGTTTAGGGTTGTAGGATATTCAAAGGCGAACCGGATACGGCTGCATTGCGCTATCGCTTATGAGTGACAATCCAGTAGTCACCCAGAGAATGCCTGCCTCTGTCTTCCAGAAACTGACCTTTCCGCGAGCACATGCACATGAGAGACTTGGGTTCCAGATTCCAGACAGGAACCAGCACTTCGCACCAAGCTATGAATGTAACATGCTCTGGGTGCTCTCAGTGGGCTTTCCGCGCTGACCCTCGCATAGTCGAAATTCAGCTGATGCAGCTTAGACACAAAAGTAGCCCAGCCGCTATGCAGAAGACCAGGGAATCGCGCTGGCACTTCTGCACCGAAATTGGCTAGCTTCCTGCAGTGGCACGCAGGCCAACTGCAAGCGTCGACGACAACGACAGCCAAAGCCACCAGCATCACCAATAACTACAATAACACAAACACCAGCACCAGAGCCAACTCAAGTAGATCAGGTGCCATGCTCACCAACAACGGCAGCAGCAGCACAAGCCCTCCACAAGTATCGAAAAAAACACCAGTCACGAGCGTCACGACTCAAAACAAAAACGCAAAGCTGAAGCACAAAAGAACAAGAATAATAAGTACAGCAGGAGCACGACAATAGCAGCAATACTCTATCACGACCATTGCAACCGCCAAGGCAGCAGCAGCGGCAGAAGACAGCAGCAGCGGCAGAGCAATCTGACTCAACAAAGCCATGGGTCATGGCCAGGTGTGCAAGCGATGCATCCATCTGATCCATATGACGCCCACCAGCCCCAGGTGTAAAGCAGCGTTGTCTGCAGCCCTGCTGGATCAGCAGGATGGGATGAAGCGGCGGCAGGCCGAAGAATCCGCCCGAGGATTGAAACTCGCGAAATAGCGCAATTTCTACAACAGACAGCTACAGCTACAAGTGGCTCTTGAGCACTTTATTCGTGAGCCGGTCAGACCTTCGAAACAATCACGACTCAGCTGCCTCAGGCTGATTGCAACAATGACACATGCCACTGCACCGAAGAACTGGGAACAAATTTTGCTGCTTGGTGAATGACGAGATCCGCGAGATGTGACGATCTTCGTCATCCCTCGCAATCTTGGTTGGGCGATCACAGTCAACACCGGACGCCCAACATCTCAAAGCAGGCCGGGTTATCGAACAGAACCTAACGCGTTTGATGGAGGAGCTATGATATCGATAGCTGCTTGATGCTAACTGGTCTGCGGCACAATCTGGATTCTCAAGAGATCCTGCCATCAACGTGATTGGAGTCTCTGATGTTTAGAGGCAGCCTGGGAGCTCTCCTATCGGAAAGGCTCCAGTTACATGAAATTATATGTACATGAACTCGACGTCCATCTCCTTCAGAGATGAACCTATTTCCGAGATTTCAGTGGGCCACATGAAGAACGACCTGCATGAAATCAATGAAGAGCAAGCGGAGCGGCTAAGTTTCTATGCATGCAGTCCACAGCCACATTCCGATCACTTCGTTACATTCTGACATCCCTGGGCAAGTGCCACGAAGATACAACTGCAGCTACTCATCATCACAACTGTTGTCCCTATCTTGGTGCAATCGTGCACCGCAGAAATGGAAAGCTGCGCCCAGGTTTGGCACTATCCCTCGTGAAGACCTGCTCGCAGTGGCTTGTTCCAGTACCAATGCCGAAGCGATTACGTACAAGCTGGAAAGAATAGCTCCGACAAACATGAGATAACACAGGATGGCGCCACCTAGTATCTCGCCGGCGTGCCCAATTCCTTGCCAACGCAATCCAGAATCATCAAGCCTGGGTTGTGCATGTTGCACGCATCTCTCCATTATTGGCAGAGACAGAGAGGCCCCGCAAGACAAAGCATATCGAACAACAAGGCGCCACATTCATCATGTAGGAGTCTGTTGCTAATACACCTATGCAAAATTCATCCGGGTTGCCTGGTTGACAGTGCTTGGGGCCTGGGCTGCAGAGGGCATATATCGCATATGGTCACGGCCATTTCTTGACTCGGGCAGGCATAATGCGGGGAGTCTGACGTTTTCAAGCCACCAAGGCACAGTACTTGAAGAAGTCAGGGTCCCGGTCTGTGTCCTGCGCAACTGCTCAGCAAGGCTGACTGGCTTCTTCAACCACCTGTACTGACCTCGGGCTTTCTTTTCAGTCTAGGGTTTGGTGAAGGCCTCCGCGCGCATTCGACGGAGTGCTGCAAGGATCGCATCGAGCTGCTCATTGAGCCCGAAGCCTTGTTTTCGATGTGTTCTGGCATGTGCAAATCGAGAACCACCGGCAAACTGCTCCAAAGTCCAAACCCAAGCCATGCAGCACAACAAGACCCATCAGTTCATCAAACTGACCTACGTGCAGTAGTATATACTTTTCAAAGACATGCAGGTAACATCAGGTGACCTTGTGGTTCTTGACCTCGACTAAAAGGTTGGACTTTAACCTCTTTTCGGCTGGAAATCGCAGGAAGTAGCTTTGTGGGGTATAAGGGCAAGGGGTTTGGAAGGGGCAAGGCGCAAGACTGCAACAGGGCTACGCGAACTACGCTCAAAACCTCAACAAAGGCACCCAACATCAAAGCCACTAGCTAGTCATCAGCAACAGCATTCAGCATTCAAGCCACCAAAAAAATGCGGTGGCTCATCATGAATCCTTTCCTCCGTCGCAACTTCTGTCTCACGCCAATCTTTGCACAATCGTCACGAGCTTTCCTTCACTGAACTCGCCGGCGAAAGATTTGCCACTGGCAGGAGTTTGTCGGCCACGGCCGGACTTGCGGCCACAGACCCACCCACCAGAATAGGAATGCCCTGCCTGGCTCTGGTGCCTGCCAGTCCCATGAGGCTAAAAACTCTGCTGCAAACTGCAGACCTCGCCGTCGAACATCGACTCATCCGGGCACACGATTTGCGCGATCCCAAATGGGCTATGCAACGTCTCGTCATTCAACATCCTTGCATTTGACTTGCTAGCTCGGCAGCAGTGGGCCGGTCAGACATGTCCACATCCGAGCAAGCAAAGGCAAGTCCTGCAAGCAGTTGTGCGATTGCTGGGGCCCATATCCCGCGCTTATCAAGCATGCCAGCAGCTTGAATGCCGTGCACATGTTCAAAAGAATACTCATACCTCCTAGCCTTCTGCGCAGCCGCAGGGCGCCTTCTCGGTGTTTCTAGAATCACCATCGCCATTGCGTAAATATCAGTTTCCTTACGAACTTTGGAAGACACGATGCAGGAAATCCAGGGTGCCAAATCGTTTTGGCTCCACCTCGACTTGGCCAGGCTGTAAAAAGACCGACTTGCCATAATCAGCTAGGTTGGCTTGCCCCTTCTCATCTCTGAATACATTTGTAGATTTGATGTCGGCGTGCACAGTTTGTGGCTCATTGTAGTGCAAGTGCTGCAACCCTTTGGAAATCCCGTGAAGCACGTCGCAGACTTCCATGTGAAGCCATGATCACGCGAAAACAGGGTGCTACCAGCACAGAAGCGTGAAACGATACAATTGTCAGCCCAGTCCAATTCAGCAATGTCGGGGTGATGAGCCGCTTGTTGTCGGACTGCACGCAGAACCGTGAGCTCATTCTAGAAGTCCTCCTTCGTCTTAAAAATCTGGCACGCCATTCCGTCTAGCCGGTACACTGTTGCCTCACCTCCCTCTGCAACAAACTCTGCTGTGCTTTCTACGTGCTGCACGACGAACGCCTTGACGGCCAGCACCCACTGGATCCAATGGGTTGCTCGGCAGAATACTGAAACGGGACCTCCTGCGCACCTCGGGCACGATGTTTCCACATGCTTCGATTCTCACATCCAGGAACCCTACATCCAGGAACCCCGCGGCCGTGGCAGGCGTAGCCTTCCAGGAAGATTGAGCGGTGGTAATCGCTGACCGCTGCTCTTGAAGCCAGCTGAAAACAGTGGCCAGTGAAGAAAAGAAATTCTCTGAACACATGATATGGCAGAATCTACAGAGCAAATCACCCTGCAAGATTCTGCTACACATTAAGCCTGTCCGATGGAAGTAGTAGCTTGCTGTTAACATGTAGCCCCTGGCATGCTGGTGGACTGTAGTCTTCGAGCCATAGCTAGCCATGAGAACACGCACTAGCGGGCAAGAAACAGTGTCGGAATTGTGCAACCGGCATCTGCGCAAATGCTCAAACTGTCGTGCATAATCTTAATGTAGCTGCTTGCAGCTAACTCTGGAGCCACAGATGTACGTCTGCTTCCAGGCCATGGGACGCGCATGGCGTGCCACGTTGCTGCACGCAGCCGACCAAGACTCCTTCATGACAGCACTGCCAATCCGAACATGCAGAACAAATCTGCCGACCGGCAGAGCTTTAGCATCAAAAGCTCGCAACCGCCGTACAACCTCCTCTGCCGGCCTCATGAGCGCCCTCAAGGTTGCCAAAGGTACGCGCAAAGGTCCTCACGGTACCTTCGAGAGCCCGAGACCGTTTCATCTCCAGATATCTCCAAGTTTAGGCTTCCGGGTTTGTGGGGAGCTCCGTCAAATTATGTACATCAGCACCATTCCAACATGCTCCACTCTTGCGTCCACGGCCTAGTCCTGCTCAGACGACATGTCAATCTCATCCCCTTGTGCTGGATGCGAGTTATGATTGCAACTTGCACCCGAGTTCCTAGATCGTAGATGCTGGGCTTGGTCAGTGCATCGGCAGGAAAGCCACACATCTACCTCTCTTCGCTTATAGAGTCATGCCACAGACAAAACCGGCAGATTTCCAAAAATGGTGCCCGGCGTTGGCACACCTGTCGGCTAACAAAGCGCCTTCCCAGCGCCGGTCCCGCCGTGGAACATGCTTCGCAGCTTTGTCAGCAGCCGTAAGGACCAGCTTCGGACCTGGCGCAGACCCCGTGCGTGCTTACGCAAAATTTTAGTCACTCGCCTTCCGACTTAGCGGATGCGAAAGACTCGTAACAGTAGGCACGGCGATGGAGACAACTTGTTTATTGCTAGGAGGAGGTGATGTCTACAGAGCCGACGGCTCCCTTCCTGTCTATGCATTTTCGGGCATCAAAATCTGCAGGAACCGAGTTACACAGTCTTCCTCATTGGCTCGTTCATGTTGAGAGCTTCGACCGAAGAGCTACTCTAGAGACCACCTCGCCGCAGAGGTGAGCTGCCCCAAATGCGCAACTCGAAGTAGTCCTCCTGATCACTGCGTTCACGGCTTTAGCAACTTAGGGTGTAACACGGTGTGACTGTTCCAATTTTTGCTGGCGTAGTTATGTCTGCCGGAACATCCGACAGGCGACAAACTCTGTCTTCCATGCTGCGGCGCTCAGACTCAGCTCTTTCATGTCGTACAGTGCCAGAATAAGCAGATACTGACTGCACTCGGTAGTATTTGCCGCCTCCGGATTCCAATTGCGGACAAGGGCTTTTTCAGGACGCGTCCTGGCTTGGCACAATACCAAAACATCTTACAGGCATGCACCTAACAAAGCAACTCTCACAAAGGATGACTTCACCTCCAATCTAAAGGTTTTGGCCCAGGTGCAATATTTCCGGCGCAACCGTGACCAGCTTGACAGCTTCAGTCTTCGATTCATGGCCTGAGTAGCCATCGGAGCTGTCGTGCGGTGAGCGAAGTGCCACAAAATCTGCTTCTAAGGTGGATTTCGACGAGGAAGTCGGAGGAAGTGTGATGGTGTTATTCAGAAGATTTCAGAAGGAGGGTGACCCGTGCTTCAGAGCCTTCTTCAATCTTCCGGTGCCCGGGACTTCCTTCGATGACGACGACCATGGGGATGGGGATGGATGAGGATAAAAAGGATCATGATGATGACGATGATGACGATGATGATGATGATCTACCAAGTCCTTTTCTCCAGAGTTCAACTGAACCGAATGAACTGAGCTGAACTGAACTGCCTTCGACAATGGTTCGTTGAAGCCGAAAGCCCAGACTGAGCATCCGCTCACAATCTTGAAAAAATCCACACAGTGCAGTGTTGAACGTCCAATCTCTGCACCCATACTGGCTGATGAGTAATAAATGTTAGACGAAGCGCCCTCAAGCTCATCGAGGTTGGCGACCGGCAGCACAGGCAGTATAGTCTGAGTCTGAGAGCCCCGTCGACCCACCTTGCGACAGCAAAGAAGCACCTGCTTGCCTAGTTGCATTTCCCATATTCAGGGGCATTTAGCAGTCAAGCATGACTCCATAATGCGGGCTGTCCACTGGACAAAGAACAAGAACTGGTCTTTGCGACCGTGGCACGGATGATCGACGTCCGGCTGTTGGAGACTTCTTGCTACTCGGCGGGAGAAGGTCAGCAAGCCGCATGTTCAGATTCGCAGGATGATTCTAACCTAACTTTCCACAAAGCTTACAGTGTGGTCTCAGTCGCATCAGCGTGGGGTCAGCAAACACTGCTCCACAACAATTTCACCGTTGCACAAACTCGAAGCACTCCTCGATGCGTTGGAGACGATGCTGTTTCGTGACGTCATCTGCGCACAGGACAGTCTTGCTCCGATGCATGGTGCCCTACAGCGACCCCTGTGCAAGCCTTCATCAAGGACAGCTTCACAAAGCACGAGCTCACGAGCACTCAACCTGCCGAATCCGAAAACGAATCTTGCCTTGTTCAAAGCCTGGTTCGGGGCTGCTCCGCTGCCGACGCTCACGCGCACAGAGCCCCTGCCTTATTGCAGGACTGAACAGTGAGATCTCACCTGCACATCAAGCCCAGATGCGGGGGCTGGGCGGCTCCTCGAGCCCAGTCGACTGTCGATGGTTTAACTGCCTCAGGATCCCCAGACGCAGTGGGAACTCTTGTGAGCACAGCCTTCGGGCCTTCGGTGCTGCAGCCTGATTGGGTGTTGCTACATGGATGTGGAATTTGCCACGTGAGCCTTCAGCCAGTGATCTCAGCCGAGGTCGACACAAGAAATTTGTTGCCAGTTCGAACTCTCCGCTGCAGAAGGTGTATTTGGATGTTGGTAAACAACAAGCCTACAAGATGAGGATTCTGCGGACAACAATAGCGGTATCAGCATGACTGCACACTGGTGCTGGCGCACATCACCGTCTGCCATGCGTCGACTTCGAACGGAACCCTGGCTCTTTGTACTATCCGAGCTGGAATGCTGTTGAGACTGCCGGCGACCGTCTGCAGATCCTCGACGACTTCCATTCTCCGATCCAGAAGCTGGTCTCGCTGCCTGACATTGCAGCATGATTCTCAGGTCTCACCATCTTCAAGCTCCTACCGGGCGCACAACGGCTCGAAAGAGTGGCTAAACTACGAAGGCCTGTCACGAAACTCCGAAACTCGACTTTGCGTCCATGACCACTAGACACGGACTCCTGCAGCCTGCCAGAAGTTACCCACGCAAGCCTCCAACCTGCTGCTTTCAGGAGCAAAAAGCCCTCAGCAGTCTGCACGCACATCTGCCCTATAGGGCAGATGTGCGTGGAGACTGCTGAGGGTACAAAGAATATGCCTCTGATTGCGAGTGTCGTAAAAACTTCGGTGTGTTTGAAGACGTCTAGAGCTGGTGGACCGAAGGATTTAAGTTTTTTGCTAGTGTTTAGTTTGCCGCTCACTTTCGATGTTCTGCGCATTCGTATTGCACCTGGCGCTACTGCCACTCTCTTACAACCATCAGGCCATGTTGTCAGACTTCAACTCAAGCAGTCCATCCTTGCGTCACCCGATGCGTGGAGAAGAAAGGACACCCGAACCATCAGTCACATAATACCCTCCACCCTTGAAGAGCCGCATTTCTTTCTTACGTTCATGTTTGACGAAATCTGGGGTGTGTGGCCTGACGGATGCAGAGAGAAGCATGGGTTGACGAAGTTCGTTACTTTTCCACTACCAACAGCCAGCACGGTATCCACGTTCGTGCAGGCAGCACATGATTTGACGACGTGCAACATCAGTTTCCACTGTGCGATCATGGTGTGTCCGTCCTGCTGCAGTTGGTGTCGACCTCGTGTGAGCACAAACGTCAAGGACTCCTTCCAATGGTCTTTGCTTTCACCGGAGGGGAAGACTATCACAGCATACACATGACATGACTACGCATGGCTACTGTAGCAGGTGCAGCATGACAAATGCTCTCCTTCGCCTTGACCTCGATCTCCAGCATGACTCGGAGAGGGCCAGGGAAGTGAGTAACTCAGTGTCAGAGACATAAACGTAGCGACGTAGCTGTCGATGTCGACCGTCCGACTTCAGTCAACTGTGACAAAATCGCATAGCACCATCACGATCGAAAGAGACCCATTGCGTTTGCAAGTTTGAGTTGCACACTGCTCTGTGCAGAGGTGAGGATCTTGTAAACGCGGCATTGCCCAGACTTTCCTGCAAACTGCCGACTGAATGGAACATGTTGCGCCTACAAACCTTTCAAGACCTCTTTCTTGCTGCATGGGCTAGGTAAAATTTGAATCACAGCTGCGTGCTAGCCAGCATGTGTGAGCCAGCCGTCTTGGAGATATTCCCATTGCCTGACTGCGCGGCATCTTGCTCCGCCTGCATCTGACGCAGCAGACCCTCCGAAAGCCGAAGCTCTACAGATCGAGAAGCGACATGCACGTACATCTGGAATGCTCTGGATTCTGAAGTTACTTGCCTTCAGCCTGGTTTGCCCGCGCTTCGTCATTCCTTTCTTCAAGATTTTCGCATCACCTGCAGAGCATGAGACTTTCTCCACGTTGCAGCTTTTTAGCCCCAAATCCCTCTGCTACCCACCTTCCTCCTCTTCTTTCTCCTCCGAAGCCAGCTGCTTCACCCGCTTGCCCCAGCGAGTTCCCTGCAGAAGCCAGAGCTCCTGGAACATAGACATCGAAAGCCTCTATGGTATGATGTACGATACATACATATAGAGAGAGAGAGGGAGAGAGACAGAGAGAGAGAGAGAGATATATATATATATAGATATGCTACATCTTGCACACTTTATCTACGTGGGCATGTCTACACGTACTGTTGATGCCAAAACAGTCATTTAACGTATACCTGTGCTGCTCATGTAGTCGATACGAAACGAGTTCAACAGAACTGCAGCACCTGATATCCCACCGACTGTTTTCTGAACCTAGCGGCCAGCGTGCTGTTTGGTTCCAGCAGCTTGGCGCGCAGCTCGGCTCCTTCGCACGAGGTATGGCTGCAAAGGGATTCACTGTGTCGGCGGGACGACAAGTGTGATCCGGGCCATATATGTCTGCACACACGTGCGTTCGCATCCTTAAGATCAAGCTAGAACAGGGTTTGACCATGAAAGGAAAGCACCATTCGAGAGACCGTCTTCGTTGGCCATATGGGAAGCTAAGATTCTGAGCAGCGTCACCCGGTCAGTCTCCAGCTGCCTCGGTCCATGCTTGACAGAAGCTCTGAGCGAAGGCAGCCCCGGCAAGCCAGATGACCGAGCATCCGAGTATATCATATTGGTTATGTTGTATTATTACATATTATATAATGTTTTGCTACATCACATTATAATATTGACTATAGAAGATTGCATTACATGCTTTGTTTTGTTTTATTATATGAATCAAGTTGGCCCCCTAGCGAATGGATTTCCCGGGTATGCTGGCAGAAACCTTGTCGAATCGTTGTTGCAGCCCTGAACTATGCACCATGCCCAATTACAGCATGGAACAATGCAGGCGAATTTCAGAAACTCTCGTTGTGCCAAGCTGCACTTGAGGATTTTGTGCCATGCCGGGGCCACCATCCGGGCTCCACTGCCCTGCACAACAAATCTGAAAAAAAAGTAAGTGCTATCTGCTCATCCGCAAAAAGCTGCCGTGGTCCTCGGACGCAGCATGGACCATCCGCAAAGTCTCCTCGCGGTCGATCCGGGTCCAGAGAAGTCTCATGGACGGCTGCAACCATGCTGTGACAGAAAGTAGTGCTGGGTATACCGTGAGAAAGGCACAGGATAGGCTTTTCTGCTCTGAACTTCTGGCCAGGACACCAGGAAAATCCTCGTCACCTCGAATGCTGTGACAAACGGGGGATCATGATGACATACGATGACGACATGCATCAGTCCAGACGGGATGAGCAGAAGTCAATTACAACAATGCCAGAGGCGCTGTCTGTCGACTTTTCAGGGTAAAGCTCCAATCGAACTTCCTCTACAACTCTTTCGAGTGATGAGTCCTGCGGCGGGACATGTAATGGCCGCAGAACCAAATCAGGATGCTTTCGTTTTCTTCTGGGAATTTTGTGTTGTGTTCTGTACCACAGGCCTAGGCCTAGGCGCGACAGGCCTAGGCGGGCGACTGTATTTCGCCTACTTGGCTGGAGAAGGGACTCTGACCTGTGCATGGGAACTTGCGATGGCGATTCCGGATCATCATCATCATCATCATCATCATCATCATCATCATCATCATCATATATATATATATATAAAGCTTAAACACGCCGCCACATTTGGCGATTCCGGTTCATCATATATCTTAAGCACGCCCCCTCATATGACGATTCCGGTTCCTCATATACCTTCAGCATGTCCCCTGGTTTGGCGATTCCGGTTCATCATACGTATATATATATATATATATAATTTTCTGTATACACAAACCACACCCCTATTTGAGCGATTCCGGTTCATTTTGTCATAAATCTTAGAAACTTTGCAACACGCCCCACCATTGACCATTTTGCGATTCCGATCCATCATAGCTTAAACACACCACTTCGTTTGGCCATTCCGGGTCATCATATGACTTCAACACGCCCGCTCACTTGCCGACTCCCGCTCCTGACAGATCTCCAACATGCCCCCTCATTTGGCGATTCCGGTTCATCATGTAGCCTCAACATGCCCCCTCGCCTGGCCCAAAGTCCGAAAGGCCTCTGGAAGCCCAGCCAGATGCGCAATGACGGCGCATCAGCAGTCCCGACTTCGGGGTCTGATTCAACATTGCGAAGTGAAAGCATCCCTGCCTAAGACAAAGAGCATCCCTTAGAGTAAGTTTCATTCTTGACCAACCTGCTCCAGCGAATCGAAGGATGCAGCATCGTCATCCTGGACAGTTTGCCGCATCACTCATGAAGGTGAGCTCACCTTCTAGATGCAGTCTCGCGGCAGACACGCAAGAGCCTCGGCCATGAAGCCATCAGTACATGCTTAATTGCACAAGCATGCTGCGCATTGCCGCACATGTTGCATGTTGACAAATGACGAGTGACTGAGTGTGCAGTCTGGCTGCTCAAGGTGTTACCTGAAAGATCTGAGCCATCCACTGTTTCCATGTTCGGGTGCAGGAACTGCGGAGAAAGATGCCTCACCAACCTCTGAGCTTCGGGTGGCTGTACAGACGAGGTGCTCAAGCTGGGCACAGCTATACAGTCGCAACGCCGGGCCTACCAACAATGGTAGGAGCTCTCCAACTACAACGCTTCTTTTGCTGGTAACAGGCTGCACCTAAACCGTGTCCAGGTGGCGAATATGTGCTCCAATCTTACAAGTTATATGCGGGATTGCCTCGTCACGGTAAGTCCTACCGGCCGCCTCGGATCCCGATCCGATTCCACTTTTTGTAGCGTGGGCTCGTGGCTGCTTCGCTGGTAAACCGTTGAATTTAGTGCAAACTATGGCATGGAGAAGGCTGGCATGTCATTCGAAATGTCATTTCTTCGCTGAGGTCAGTCCCCTTACACTGACATCAATACTGTAACACTCGCTGAATCTTCTCTGCGTTCTTTTGGCCAAAGCGGTTCAATCGACACTGCTGGTTCAGCCTAGAGCTACGGACAGACTTCGATTGCAAACCGTGACCTTGAGTAACCCTGACTTCGGTGTTGGATGTGCTGGGACTCGCAGACTGCTGGCTACCACGACATCGCACTTCTCGCTCGACAGGGCAAAACTGCGACAGACAGGGCACTGCACTTCTGGCCCACATAAAATACCGTCATGACATGTCATAATATGTCATAATATGTCATAATAACACGTGATCTAGTAAAATACAGTACACGTTCAGCTGAGCATGGGACCAACTCGCAGAGTTCCCAAATGGACAAACGATCATCCAGTGCTGTGGTTCGGTCCTGGCATCCCAGTGTCCAAGCCAGAGGGCGGCAGGGTAGAAGCACATAACCAAGGCTGCCTTCAACGCTCTGCCACCGGACGGTATATCCTACACTAGTACCGCTACAAGTAGTATGCCAGCTCGCATGTACTAAGAACTCCTGGCGATTTCGAGAACACCATGAAGAAGCGGTACAATCGTGTTGATCGGGCTTCCCGAGTTTTCAAGGTCCGCATCCTTGGCAGTACGCAGAGCATGGATGGCGTTTCCATCCAGGACCTGCTCGAGCTCCTGACAGGATGCCCTACAAACATCATGAATGGCACCAGCACTTCCTTATTCACTAGCTCTTCGTAGTTCACTGTCTTTGGCCTCGAAGGTCACGCTGCCATGACCAGGAACATGGCCGCTCATCGATCCATGAGGCCCACGGAGCACTACATAAAAACTATGTCGAGTGTATTACACAAATGAAGGAGATCAGATTGAAACCAGCGATAGCAAAAGTCCACCCTTCATTAGCGAAGGCAACGGCTGATGAAATCCTCCGGCTGATAACAAATCCTACCCTCACCGATGCTTCGTCGCAGGCATCGCATCTACACCTCATCAATGCTGCATAGGTGTGTGTGTGTGTGTATATCCAATGCCTGCTAGGCGCAGTCTTGCATTGAATCCGGCTCTTTGAACTGATGCGTCCATCCGCAAAGCGTCCCAAACATGCTTTAAGCACGTAGATACGCTACTGCCCGAAGCTGACGAGAAGAAGTTGCTGCTTCTCCTCTCCTGCTACAGCTTCAGCGGCCTTCACATGTTCTCGTTACCCGGTTGACGGGGAGCTGGAGAACCTGCAGATCTGCGCAGCCCTATCTCGCAAAAGCCAGAGCCGCGCAAGAAGCTAAGCCAAGCCTATCTAATGAGAACCTAGACAGGCAAAGCTGCAAGGGAACTAGGTGGCCTGCGTGACTCTTGCACTTCCTGCAAACGACAAAGCTGTCCTGACTGCCTGAACAGGCGAGCATGGAGGGTCACATGTGCATCCACACAAAATCTGTGCCAAGCTGCAAGTGCATCAACAACGCCGACGCTTGCGGACTCGCGATGGCGTTTGCACCTGGCCCACAAAAGTGTTCCCAAACGCATCGAATCAAAGCTGCTTTCGCTGGTACTGTGGCAACCCATGCTCCTATAGACGAGCCGCAAGCATCCACTGCGACGCCACGAGCAATAGCATCAACCTGCAACAGCATGCGGATGCGCAACGTCGGAAAACAATTTTGCGCTGGCTGGCTGAGGAGAGCATTACTGCATCAGGGATCTGTCGAGGCCTCGAAGTGTTCTCAAGAATGGGAAATCACAAAAAGAGCCCTTCAGCCAGGAGCCTCTACTGCATCACGCTCCATGTCTTGGAAGAGGTGAATCACTTCACGCCTCACGTGAGATCATCTCAAATCTGATCCCATCCCCTGCTCCAGTCTGTTCCCATGCAGACTCCGAGATCGACAGGGAAAGCTAACGAGCATCTGGCCATTGTCCAGCAACTCTGAAGGTAGCCATGGCAGAGTTGTAGGCCTTGGAAACATGACGACGGCTCATGGAAGTCTGGGTGCAGCGCAGACAAACTTCACACGGCTTTTCACCACATGCCGAAACAAACGACTCCCATAACATGGATTCTTTCTTCAATCGCTCTATATGCGGAGCGGGGCACCACCAGATTCAGCGTCTGCTCCTGGAAGTGCAGCTCCGTCAGGAATTGCACAGAACGGCGCCAACTGTGGCCTGAAAGAAGGCAGCCAAGACAACAGTACGAATTGAGCAGATCTTTATGGAAGATTCCAGAACGGAAGACCGATGCGCCAGAATATAGAATCAACACTGAGTAGTACTCTGAGAACTCCGAGAAAAGTACATCTGCATGCAGCAATAACTCCACAACTCCAGCCCAACCTGGTCCATGGTGTTTCTATTCGCGGGGTGTTCTGGACGAATTCTAGGCCCGTCTTCTTGATATCTGCGTACGCCGCCAAAAGCAGCCGATTCTTCTCCGGCAGATTCAAGTGCTTGCAAGCACAGCAACGGACGGATCAGCCAAGGATTGGCGTTTCCCTTTAGTCGTGCTGAGTTGCCTGATAAGCTTCTTCCGAAACATTACTTAACTGCTTCCGCTTCATTGCCGTCGCAGGTTTGAGGAAGAAAGGAGGCGATGCACGGAGAATGGATGCAATAGCATAGAACCAATGATGACAAATACTTGCGTGATACTCCCCATCCAAAACCTTGCAGAAACCTGTTCTTCTCGAACTATAGAAGGTGACGTGATGTGAAACACACGAGGTCGTGGCCTTCACCTGCAGCACTGATGGCAGAGCTGGTCAGAGCCACGTCTCTGTCCACACCTTGCAGGGGCAGATGACCTTTTTTCCCACCACAAGCGTTGCATGGGGCCCTCAGAAGCAAGAGCAGAATCAGTACAGCAGGAGAGGAACAAGACACCAAGAAGCCAGACCCTGCATCCCCTCCCAGATTCTCAAATTTCGAATGTGCGCCAGTGCCTGAGCTCAGTGCCCGGGAATAAAGTGCTAACCCATGTCGCCACATGCTGGCTTTCGCACATGCACTGATGGCGGCACCTGGCCGGCTGCACCGCACAGTGCCACAACAACCACAGTAACTATACTGCGTCGAGTCATCATCAGTTCGGCCTCACGAAGCCTGAAAAGCAGCCGCTAGTCGAGCAAAAGAACCAAGTCAATCAAGGCACTGAAGACCACACCATTCACTTCTAGACTCTGAGCCAGAAGTGAGGAAAGAAGATCCAGGGCCCATTGCCACTCTTCGTTCTTCTCACAGGCACTGACCGCGGCTCCAAAGGAAACAACATTGGACAAGTTCTCATTGACAGCTCGAACCAATAAATGCAAAGCCTGCTGCCAGTTGCCAGCTCTGTCACATGCTGTCGTCGCAGCCGCCAGGGTCACTACATTGAGCTCAATGCTGCTGTCGGTGACAAATGCCAAGTAGTCTATAGCCAGCTGCCAGCGACTCGCGTGGCTCAAGGCACTGATAGCGGAGTTGTATGGGATCACGTTCGCCTCCCAGCATCGTAGTAGTAGTAGTAGTAG